TACTGATCTTTGTTGTGCAAGATGGTGCACATTTCTTGCAGTGGCTTAGTGTTACTGGGATTGAGAAGTGTCACAAATCTTCAGGTTTGAAAAGCTTTATTTTTATCTCTTTTTTTTTTAATTGGAAATAGTGTCCTTATTGTTTATTTGTAATGTTGACTGTCTACCCCTGATAGACAACCTCGGTGAGGTAGAAGTGTTATTTATCTTTCTTATCTTCTGCCTGTTGATGACGGCAGCGTGGTGGTGCTTGCGACAGCGGCCCCTATTGACAAATTGAGTTGCAGAAAATGTATTTTAAAAAGAATCTTTTTTTTCTCTCCTTTTTGAGTTTGGACAACACTCGCTCTCTAGGAAGCAGTGCCTTTTCTACTGGAAAGAAAAGCAAGTTAAAAGCAACAAAATCTGTTCTTTCGCCATCTGCCACTGATGGTCTGTCTTTTTTCCCCCTCCACCCCTCCTCCCCCCCCCCAAATTGGAAGACGTCTTTATTTTTAATACATTTTTCTCAACTTTTAATTTCCTTAATACATCTCTTTCCCTTCCTTTACTTACTAAACAATATTAATTTTCTTCCACTCCGTGTATCGTACACAACATTCGATATTTACATGCCTGTTTAAATTGATGTATCTTACCTGCCAGACTATAAGCAATATTTTCATGTTGAATTTGTGGGACAGTGCAATATTTACAGATAATACTGACACACATTGACAGTTTTTGTACTTGTTGAATCAAAAATGCACCTAAAGATAGACTGAAAAATAAAAGTTTTCTTTTTCTGGTCACATCAAAGATTCTACTGTTTGAATAATTTACTTTTGAGCAGAACAGTAATTGTGTGTGTGTGTTGTCTGTCTTCCCAATTTGTAAATCAGGAATTTCCCAACTGCCCATGCCCTGCTATGTGCTTTGCAATGTGCAACTAGAAAACAACAGGTTATTTGGATTTTTATCCAATTAATTTGTTTAATTCAGCAAATGGGGTCAGAGCAGTAAAAACAGGTTTCTAAACCTCACCTGCATGTGTCTGGGAAGAAAGCAGGGACCCTGGGAAAATCCCACACATAGAGAACATGCAAACTCCACACAGACAGGACTCTAGGTGTAAAGTATTAATTAAAATCCCCAAGCCACCTCAGTGGACTTTCTATGCACCTACGTTCAGATTCCTTTATGACAACAGCTGTTAATATCTGCTTTGAATACATTTATTCTGATATTTCTCCTTACCAACTTGGTTTATGGTTCAAATAAATGCTCTATACTTTACTGTGTTTTACAGTCCTCCACTATTACAAAATTCCTTTCAGCACACTACTGCATATGTGAAAATGGGTTTTGCAAAAACAATAGAAACAGTTCTAGTAAGAATTTAATTCTTATTTAAGTTATTTAGTCTTTGTATTTTGCAGACTTGCACTTTTTGACTTCTCTTGTCATCCTGTACCTTGTTTTGCTCATTCCAGAGCCACAGTAACACAACATGCAGGGGTTTAGATGGGGTGGTGGGAGAGGTTTCAGAGAGATGTGCTACTGAAGTCCAAGATGTATTTACTGTATGTATTTTATTTAGTAACCTCTAATAATAAATCAAGAAGTTAATTAACTAGAGTAAACCTAAACATTATGTTTTTATTAAAAAGTGAAAATCAATTAGATGAGGATGATGTAGGTTTCAGTGTGACTCCATTAACTGGCCTTTTGAATACGATAATTTTTACAGCACGTTTTCCAGGAACAAAAGTGTAGTTGATAGATTTAAACATGTTAATTGAAGAAGTATTCCCTTCTGCAACATGGGCATAGACTGGGAAGCCCATTGCATGCATCTGTTTTATAAGAGCATTCAAGGCTGTCTTCATGTGTCCAGTCCTTCGATACTCAGGTAAGGTGAAACCCATTCTCATTTCACACAGCTCATCAGAGAAACACCAGGAGACTGGATTC